GAATAATCGATAATTCCATGGAAAACTTTGGATTTTTTAAATAAAATATTACAAATAAATGTTTTCGGTCAAATATCTCTATCTCAAACGCAAATTTGTTAATACAAAAAAAAGTAGTCAAATACTCGAGAACTCATTTAGGAACGGTCCTTGTTATCAGCATTACTGGGAAGAGCTGTCTGTCTACGTGTACCACGCAGAACCTGCTGTCTACGTGTACGTGTACGTAAGAGTAAGTTCCGTCTTTAAGCTTTTAAATATCATAATACATTAGCAATTCAGAACTCGTGGAATTAAGTGAAAAATGAGATTTGTGGAAAAATGCGTCCGAAGAGGCGAATTGTTGGAATGCTATTAAGTTGGTATACTGGTATTATTAAAGTTATCTTTGTCGCCTAAGGTGTCTACAAATGTTTGCCACCTATAGTGAGACTGATGATGACGGCTCTCTGAATAAATATAGTAAGATGACGAAGATGACTTCACTTACTTCATCCTGAAGAGGCGAACACACAAAGGACTATACAACACGTAAGTACTAGCTTAGCGTGTACATTTATGTCGAAATTTTTATTCCTGCTATGGAATTACATAATAAAAAGAAATATTAAACACAAAACGGTTATCTGGCTCGTCTATCCTTTGGAACAGAAATTTACTAACAAAAGTATCGATAAGATTTTTTTGTTAATATGTTTCATTAATAATTTGGTTTAACTCTGAATGTTATGAATCGTGACATTAAGATTCACGTGATATACAAAACATATTTTTGTTCTAGAATTATTCCAGAATATTCTAAAAGAATTCGTCTAAAAATGATACCAATTGATTCTTCTAGTCAAGAGGAATCGAATAAGCACTTGATTGGCACCAGAGGTGTCTTAAAAATCCCCCTAACACGTTTTAGGACATGCATTGCCCTCAAAACCCTTTTCTAAAGGCCTTTTTACAAGGTACAGTTTTCGTGCAGATACTCAAACAGAAATTGTTCAGAAACTTCAAGATCCTAAACTAGAAGTATAAAAGTCGAAAGTCATCATTACATGGTCTGCAAGTTTCCAGACAATTTGCCACCATACGCCGCCGCCAGGGGATCTACCGACTCAAATAAATTCCTGAATTGTTCTATTCGAGTACATTCATTCCCGACATTAGTGTCCGGGTGTTTTGAGCTCTTTGGTTAAGACTTTTTTAAGTATTAATTAAACATAAAGGGAGGAACAGAAATTTACTTACAAAAGTATCAATTTATTAATGCTCAAAGAATTAAATGGCTGGGTCATACTCAAAGAATGCAGGTAAATAGATTCCCAAATAAGAGAAGAGATTCCCAAGATAATGGTACAACAGGTGGGGTGACAACGGGTGGTACAACATGGGTAACAGCAGGTGCAAGAAAGAGAGGAAGACCGACCTACATTTTGGTGAATGGATGACGTGTGCTAATATTTAAGGGTGTTGGGCGAAAAAATGTGGAGAGCAATTCTAGAGAATAGAAAAATATGGACTTAATTGAGAATGTCAAGACCCACAAAGGGCTGTAAAACTAATGTGGAAAAAATGAAACATGGGGAGAAAAAAATAGAAAGGCCGTCATCGTTGTTGCTACAGGCATGGTCGTAGTTACCAAGGCTTCAGAGAGTGCGCAGAAAAAACGCTCCGAATGGAGGAAGTCTAGAAGTGAGCATTAGGAACCTCACATTTGCAAGGTGCCGTGAAACAAGCTCCCCAGCAAAGCCGAGAACCCAAATCCGCCACTCAATGCACAAAATCTCACAAATCGTTCCTAACCTGACCACAAAATTTGAAAATGATGGGCGATTTCCGCCATAAAGAATGCTTTTAATGTGCGAGTCTGCCGTTAGAAGCGCTAGAGACAAATTGTACGTTTTCCGTAAGAAAAAATCAAAAATGCTCAAAAGTATACTCTAGTTCAGTTTAGACTGCACGCTTTCTGTACGTCCAATCTGCACAAAAACTATACCGTATAAAACAGCCTTCATAATTATCTTTGAATGTACTCGAAGAACTCGAAAAATAATGGTCAGTACTCCAGAAGTAGAGACGGGTGGTTGGCACTTTTGCCTTAAATGGTGGACCGGAAAACGCCGAAGTGAATGATTACTGGACACACGTGTGTTACTCTATTTCTTTATGTAAGATATATACTACTAATTTCTGATGGTTGTACACATTAAAGACATTAAACTTCCGATCACGTGAGAGGTACTTGTTGTTCCGATCACGTGAGAGTTGATACCAAAGAACTCGAGAAAATACAAAAACAATTAAACAGTTTTGATTTTGAGTGAGAATGCTAATATTTGATGGTAGAACTGTGGAAACAAAAAATAAACGGGCCGTCTGCGGGTAAGTTCAAACTTTGCACGGCTTGGCCAACATTTGTTATCACGAAACGTTGCAGCTGGAGCCACACCATCAGCCGCCGTCAATCTCAAATGTGGAGAAGTGGTCTAGCAATATTACGTCGTAGAAAATGGCGGACGTCGCTAGTTCAGATGTGGAAATATATCCAAATAAAACTACTGTATCTTGTAAACAATTACATTGCTTGAATACGAAAGACGATAGCTTCAATCGACTTGCGGAATTTTGAATCTCGTTTCAAAGCCAATTTAGAAAAAGCAATAATTATTTTCTTGCAAAATTTGTAAAGAGTTTCCTATTTGTGCAATTGTGAAGTTGGAACAGAATATTCAGAACAGAAAACTTCGAATTAACCATTTTGCAATATTTAACAGTTTTAAAAACAATTCCGAAATCCGCACAATTCCTGCCAGGGATGTTCCCAAATTGTCTGAGTTGAATATTGCAAAATTACAATTTTTACAATAGATGCAAAATTATTGCTAATTTTATGCTTTAATTGTTGCTAGAATATTTTATATAGATTTCATCTTCGAATTTTGCTTTTTTTATTTTCAATTGTTATTTATGAGTCTTATATCGATTCAAAAAATACAAGAATTTGCAATTTTTGCAAATTTTATAAACACATGAAAAATTGCAAACCATCAATTATAATAGTTTTGTTATCAATAAAATCTATAGTAAACTGGATATTTGATCATGGTTTTTGATTATTTGTGAACAATAATAATAAAAGTAACTGTGTAAGAGAAACGAAATCCTCTGAAATTAGTGTTATTTTATCTCACATAAACGTAATTTCTTCAATAAGAAATGTGTTAACAGTGGTTAAACATGTATTTAATGTAATTACTTTCATTTTCAATAAGGTGTTTCATTCAACGTATTTTTATTTGAATATATTTTCACATCTGAATTAGCAACGTCCGCCATTTTCCACGACGTCATTTTGTTAGGCCACTTCTCCCCTCTTTGAGATTGGCTGCGGCTATTTGTGAGGTTCCGGATGCAACGTTTCATGATGACCAGGGCTGCCCAAGCAGAACAAAGGCTTAACTAAGACACAAACGACACGGTTAATTTTTGTTTCCAGAGCTCCCTTATTTCATCTATTCACATGCAGAACATACCGACTGAATTCTCATATTCAGTGATAACGTCTCAGCAAACGACAGGGCTCCAAAAATGAGGCCGACCGCCATTTTTTACATGTTACGATATGGAATAGAAAAATGTTTGATAACACTTGTAAAGAACTGTTGAGCCGTATGTAGTATAGTATTCTTGGAGTATTCCTGAAGACTTTTGTTAAAATATTTAATTTTTTGCGGTGTTATATGATATAATTTTGTTTGTCGACCTTGAGCAGTATGCGTGCTTTTATTGGATAACATTTTTGTGTGGTTTTGTTCAACACAATTTTCCTGCTTCAGGCCGCTAGCACAAAACTATTTGTATGTAAGCACTATTTCTAAACTGTTCATATTCGCACCAGTTTTCTATCCACCATTTCCATGATAGGACACCTTGCCGAAATTGCTTAGTATTCATTATCTCTGTTTGGTGGTGCATTGAAGAATCAACCAACCTCCGGGCTGACGTCTTCAGACACATTCATGAACCTTTTCTTTTTTTATTAAAAAAATATTTTAACAGTAATATTTTAAAAGACAGCAGACGGTTTAGATAAGTTTCAGGGTTCAAAATTAACGGCAAATTCATTATTTTCCTGACCCTCTATTTAGAAAATTGAACGAAATTTTGAATACTTTTGAAAACTTTTTTATTGTTGACCTGCAAATAAACGTTTTTAAAAGATTGACTAATTAATGTATTGTATTTATAATGCAATCAAATAATGAGTTTAGGCTCCGCTTCATTCTGGTTCTCTTGTAACAAAGGAAATAATTAAAAAAACTTTTTTTCAATTTGGTATATCCACAATGCAAAAAGCCATAAAGTAAATGGAAATATTTTTATCGTTAAAATTTAAAAATAAGCTAATTTCATTATTTAAAAAAAAGTTGCGTAATCTTTCTTTATAGCTGAAGAAGTTTCAATTGTCTTAAATAGGCTTTCGCTTCTGATATCTCATATCACACAAAAAAATTAATTTTGTGATCACATTTAATTTTCAATCATGGATATTCCAGGAGGGGTATTTGTTACTGTTGAAAAGTATGGTTAGGGGTTAAAAGTTTCTATAATTAATCAAAATTTGGAGTTTTAAAAATATAATTACATTTTAAGAATCATTCGAGATTAATTAGAAACAGTGGTAATCTTATTTCAAATGTACCTTTTGAAAATAATTTCGAATTTAATAATTTGCATGTTTTTAACGGAACTTATTCGTTTTCTGAGAAATACCAGTATCTTGAAAACACAAAAAACCTTACTTCTGATACTCTTTAAGTTCTACATAACATTGAAATATTTTGCAAATGTTTTTACTAATAACTTAGTTTGTTATATGTTAGCGTCCACATTGTGGACGACTTACCACTACATCTACGAAGAGCACCGTTCATTGATAACCGTTTTCCAAAACTACTTGCATTCAAGGACACAAATGTAGGAAGCTTTAAACTTTATTGCATCTCATGTTAGTTACCACCTGCCGTTCGCATAGACGCCCCTCTGCTTCTACGATTAGCCAGATCTTTAGATTGTCGGGAATAAGCCGTTGAAACTCTCTTAGACGATCTTCTGGACAGCGATCTTTGTCGATCTCGAGGAGAAGGCAGCGTTGATGCTCTTTTGGTGGAAGATCTAGGACGCAGAGGAGGAAGAGTTCTTCTCCCAATCTGAGGTTGGGACACTCGAGTATACAACACAGATCCTTTCTTCTTCTGCAGCACAGTCAATTCAGTCTGAACCTCACTGTCTACTTTCTTCATAAGAGGTCTGGTCTTCGGTGTCTTCGCGATCGACTTCCTAATGGATCCCATTCCGGAGCCTCTTAGGGTTATGGAGGACTTGCTCGATTTCTTACTGGAACTCGATTTCCTACCAAGATCCGTATCTGAAGTATCCGATTTCCCCATAGACTCGCTACCGAATGGAGCAATGGTAACGGTCGATTTCTTCTTTGTGGTCGAAGACGCGTCCCCCAACGTCGAGCCCGACATTTCTTTGCCCTTAGTCTTATCAAAAAGTCCTTTGCCTTTGGATTTTTCTGCGTCATCTTCGTCCTTAGATTTATCAGAATGTTCAATACCTTTCAATTTATCGGATCTTTCTTTTCCTTTCAATTTATCGGAACCTTCTTTGTCTTTCAGTTCATCGGAACTTTCTTTGATTTTCAATTTATCTAAGCTTTCTTTGCCTTTCAATGTATCTGAACTTTCTTTCTCAGGTTTTTCAGAAGATTCTCTGCCTTTGCTCTTATCAGAGTCATCCTTGTCCGTAATTTTTTCCTTGCCGTTCATGTTATCATCTTCGTCCTTTGATTTATCGGATAGTTCTTTGCCTTTGGTCTTGTCAGATAAATCTTTCTTCTCAAGTTTATCAGATTTATCTTTTTTCTTAAGTTTATCGGATTTTTCTTTACCTTTGGATTTATCGGAATCGCCGCTATCTTTCGATTTATCTTTCAATTTAGATTTGTCTTTCTTCTTACCACCACCTTTTTTGCCCTTATATTTTTTAGTACTTTTCGTAGAATCTGTGGTCGCAGAAGTAGAATCCGATTTTCCGGAAGAGGAACCCTGGGTAACCAGAAGGTAAAAACATGGAGGAACAAATGTTACATATTCACTTTAAATAAACTAATAATACTCTTAATCAAAATAAAAAAACTCCACAATATGTGGCTGACCTTTCCCAATAAACCAAATTTCATAAAAGAAGAATTTCAATTGTCCAAATACTATTTGTGTGGTATGTATTATCTACTGAATCTCGTCACCACATCTACGTCACGAATGCTACTCATTATTCAAAGACTTCTTTATTTTATTAATACCATTAAAGTATTTCACGAATTTACCATTATATTATTTTATTTCAAATACTGTTTTTGAGGTATGTGTAGTGTCTTAATCTCGTGATCACATATACTTCACCGCTTACACGTATACTTAGTTATTAGACTTTTTGTTATTATTTTTACCATTATAATATTTCGCGATTAGCTGTTTTGTTCCAGAAATCGAAACTCTAGAAAATTGCACACGAAAATTGCAAAACTGTATTATATCTGTTTTTCCGATACTAATATTTATCTTTCATTTTGACATGCAGCTATTTCCTGAGATTCTGGAACATTTTGTGACATGATTATGTAAGCTTTTTGTATAAATTCAGACATATCAAACAGGAAGTCAAACAAATCAACAATAAATTAATGAATATATCATTTTTCATAAAGCAGTCACTTAACTGAGGCAAACCTGCTGATTCTTTGACAAACAAAGAAACATCTCGATATATCCCTCTCCGATTTTGCTGAATTTTGAATACTTTAGACACTGGGGCGCATCCAAGGTAAAGCTATGCTCCGGGACTTCATTTCAGTCTCCCCAGACGCTAAATTAAGTAGTTTTTATTAATTCGATATTTCAGAGAAAATTAATCAGAGTCTCAATTGAATTATAAATAACTTTCAATCAACAATCCTGAGACAAGGATGCTGTGTAGCTCCTACCCTTTTCAAAATATATTTAAATACTGGTCTTGAAAATTGAATTGAATATAGGAATATGGGAATAAAAGTTGACAATGATTCGTTTTTTACTCTTCACTTCGCTGATGACCAGGTTATTCATGCCGAGAATGAACAAAATATATATTATATGATGAGGAAATGAAATGAAAAATAAGCATCTTGGGGTTCAACTATGAATCTATCGAAAACTAAGTATGTTGTTGCGGGGTCGCAAGAAACAAACTTAATAACTGGAAGCAGGTGTATTAAAAATACAACAGCTTACAAGTACAGTTGTGTGTGTATATCAAAGGAAGGTGGATGTGCACAAGAAGTAAATCAGGTTCTCTCAAGGGAGAGTAGAGACAAGACAGTTGAGTAACGTTTTGAACAGCCAAAAAATAACAAGCAACACATAGATAATATACAAATCGCTGGTTGTAAGCATATGTACATATGGTTCAGACGTTTGGATTCTAAATCATAGTGATTAACAAAAATTAAAATCAGTGGCAATAAACTATTGGTGACGCTGTTGAGGCCTCACATAACTGGATAAGTACTGAGTGTTGACATAAAACATCAAATGGGCATTGATATTGATATAATGGACGTAAAACATGCTAAAAGTTTAAGATGGTATGGCCATATCCAAAGAATGACGGAAAGTCGATGGCCTAAGACAATTTTTAAATGGTTACTTCAAAGAAATAGGAAGTGTGGCAGCGAAAGGAAAACATGGGAAAATGAGTTAGAAAAGGCGATGAAGAAACGAGATATCCAAGAGGAAGAATAGGACGATCGAAGGACTTGGTGACTGGGATGCGAGAAACAGCGTTTGATGTAAAGAGCTTCGCTAATACTACTACTAAATCAATAGATATAAAGTAATTTTAAATTCAGCATAAATAACCATTTCACAGAAAACATCATATTTACACTTTATCAGAAGGCACTACACCTACACACCATTCTCAACAACACTTCCGGTTTGCCACTGATATTAAGGGAAAAGAAATTTCTTAGCCTTATCCAAGTAATGAGTGGACTTATCCGGTTCTCGACACCTAACATCACTATAATACCATTGTGACAGGTGTGAGTTACCTCTATAGTGAACAGACTATAAAGTGCACTATAAAGAACCATCAATGCCACACATGCGCTATTAAAAAATCAATTGATATATAATGAAAGCAAATGCATATATTTTTCAATATTGCTCAGTGAATCATTTTTCATCACTGCAGTTACAAAGATATCAAGAAATAAGCATAAACTGATCGTACATACCCGAGAATGTTGGCAATTTCACGTGTGGTGAGCTTCCTGCAGGATTTGGCTCACTGACATGCATTTTTTCTGATAAATTTTCTAATTCAGAAAGACATTGGCTTTTAAAATTCATGTATCTGCTTTCTAAATTCTCAAACGAGGGGATTAAGTCATCTAAACCCTCTTGTTTGATAGCTTCATCAACTGTAAATCTAATATTCTTCCACAATTCTCCACCCCGTCCAACAAACATTCCAAGTTTGGTTTGCTAAGATCCAGGAAAGAATTTAGATTCTCTTCGACATTTAACAGGCATTTTTGGCTAGCAATTTATGAAGTGCTTATGCTATTTACCTCTCCACAAAACACTGGTATGTGGAAAGAATATGAAGTATTTTGAAACAGCCACTATTAAACTACGCACATAAACTAAACACCTATAACCTCACATATGAATCACAACTATACTTATAAAAACAAGATTTTTTGAGACACATCACATCTTAACTTCAACTAACAAGTTTCACTTAACTTTTATGCACTATCACTACGAGACTGCTCGCATCTCTTTTGATTTTCAAAACAATGCGAGTTCGTTGCGTCTAATGAGGAAAAAATTGGATTCCGAGAAATCTGACTGAGTAAAATTTTCGTCGTGGTCTCCCAGGAGGTGGAGTGATCTATGAGTGACTCTTCGAACTAATAAAATCAGTTGACAATCGATTTCCAAGAAACTTTTACAAAAAAAAATTAGTATTTGCTCAATTGGGAAGGACTTTGTGCGGGTTTTCAGCCTGATTATACTATCTCGGCGGGCAGGTGGGAAGTTTGAAATGTATCTTTTTTTCCTCAAAAACGCCTTCAAAGAGCAGCGAAACTGAGCTGTTCGAAGCATGGCGCCAAATTTGAATTAATTTGGCGGTCCACGTGCCAACATATGACATATGATTAGTGAAGTTGTGTTCGGTAGCGAGATCTCAAATAAATAATAACCAAATGACCTCATAGCTTTGCATAGGCTCCCAAAAATCTTTGTCTCAGAAATGAAAAATGTAGTAGACTCAGTAAACCATTCCTCCATCTTAGACTACTTAATTAAAAAGACAAATCCAAACCAAATACGATTTATGGCAAAAATTTTGAATAACAGGCTGTATTATGCAACTTATAAGAAAACACGTAGCCTCAATATGAAGTAATAAGAGATAAGCTTATTGTTACAGTATACATGTATAAGTAAGTGACTTACCTAACTGTTACGAAATATTATCATATTGCAGCTTTTAAAGCAAATACAGGAACACAAATTCAACAATATTTTTTTATTATATTCTCTGTTTTTAGTAAAAGTCAGACTTTGAACGGATTTTTTCGGAATTAATATAAGTCTACGGAACTTTAATAAAGAATTTTTTAAACAGCCGCTAGTAAAACCGCTTCTTTTAGAGTAAGCGCAGCAAGGTAAAAGTTTCATTTTTAGAGTAAGGCAATGTACTCGACCCCTAAGACCTCGCTGCCCAAATTGGCCTGAATTCATTGTATTGTGATTTCCCCCTCCAAAAAGTTCAGTATAAAATACTTTAATGTAAAGTACCCCCAAAGATTAAAAGTTCCGTTTCTAATACGCTAATTGATAAGTTAAATCAAATCGATCAAGGAATAATATTGGGAAAAATATTTTTCGGCATACTTTTTATTAGTTGCGACACGTTCGTTTTTGTCCAAATGGGAGGAAGGGATTGCGTTTGTAGCGATTGCCGATACAGTAATTACAAACTGCAGAAGGATCGCATGTAATTTTACCGGTTTTTTAAAAATAAGCATTTTAAAGTATTGGCTAAGCACAGTTTTTGTTATTTCAGTGCGTTTTTCCATTCTGCTAATCGTATTTTATTTTATAGACACTCCCAATGGATTGTTAAACGCAGAAAACAAGATTTAGACGTGATGTTAAAGAAACAAGGACATGAGCATTTAAATGCTAATTCTGTTGTGTGTTCTGACCATTTTTCAGAAAAATATTTTAGGAATAAAAATCTCCCAAATAAAGGGCACACTTTTCCATCTGTTTTAAAGAAAGATGTAGTGTTAATTATTGAAAAAACTATTGCTTCAATGTCAATGTTTTATACTGATGCTAACAAACTACTCAACATAACATATTTTTGTGCGTGATTAATTCTGCTTTTCTTGAAACTTAATTGAGATTATATGGACTGATTTTGAAATAGTTGTGCCATTTCGTTTTAGGCTTTGGTCTGGAGCAATACCTACATTGTTGTTTTTTTCAATACAAAGCCCCCATTGAAGCGTCGTGTTTTGAAGGAACATGTCGGAAATAGTGAGGCCTTCAGAGGAAGAAGGTACAAGTGGACTTAGAAACTATTGAAAACGAAAAATCTCCAACTGTAGAAAAAACACAACTGAATTAATCTCTTCGTCGAATAAACTACAGTACCGACAGAAATGGCATCAAAATATAAACTGCTTGCAGCAAACATTAGCGCAGAATTAATTGCAAAGAAACTAAGTGACAGAAGTAATTTTATAGATGGTATTACTGACAATGCCACCGCCAAAAATTTTCTTCTATCGCAAATGAAGTTAAAAAATCGAAAAAAACAGAGTCGATGATATTCTGATCAAGATATAAGTTTTGCACTGGCACTGCATTATCGTTCAGCAAAATCTCTTACAATTTTAGAGAATTTTTTCTGTTTACCTACCACTAGGTCATTAGGAATCTGGCTGCAGATGGCAGCTTTACAATCTGGTAACAAAAAAATGGTACTAGATTTGCAGATTTGCATTAAAGCAGAAAAACTAAGTAGAAAGAGAACAAATGTGTCCATTGTTTTTGATGAAATGTCATTGAAAACATTATCAACTTACCATCTTCAAACTAATGTATGTGAAGTATATATAGATTTTGGAGGTATGTGTTGTGGCCAATTTCCTAGAGCTCTGACAAACCCTCGTGCATTATGTAATCATGCAATGGCATTCATGATAACAGGTACAGTATAATGATTTCAAACACATTGTGAGTTACCATTTGCATCTACCCTGTGCTTCAAATAAAAAATCTTATTGATTTTCTAAAAAAAGTCTTGTTATTTCTCTCCCATTCTAGAATTTGTCCTACATGCTAATAAGAAGTCTTAACGATATTGATCAGAACCTTCTTCAAATATTTTAAGTCCTGAGTTTTATTAGAAAATATTAATAAATAGAGAGGAAGAAATCCATTCTTTGCCATAGAAAGTTATGTCAAAAATAATCGTACAAACGGGTGTGTACTATTGGTGTCATATGCGTTAGTCCTGTAGTGTACACCTCAGGCCGCTAGGCGGCAACAGTCACTTGTCCCTTGTGCCGTCCAAGCTAGTTTGCCCGAGTTTCCATTATTATGGTAAACACTATTTGGTTCGGAGAGGGACATCTCTTTTTTCCTTGCGAGTTTCCTTGAGTACTTCATTCGTATGAATAATTTAAAATGACGGGTAATTTTTGAAAATTTATATCTTCCCATTACCCTGTTTAAAAAAACGAGGCGTTTTCACATACCTTTTTGTTACATCATTTCGAGAAGCATTTCTATTTTTGTTTTTTTTCTCTAATACGAAATGTGACATAAAATTCCGAAAAATGAACTTGTGTATTAGAAGATAATGAAAATAACCAATGAAAACTTGGCCATTTCGCAATATTTAAAATCAATTGATTTTACTACTACACCATACCTTTTCTCTTCTTCATGTAATCTTTCTGTTTAGATTAAAAGCAGAAAGACTAAAACTGTTTAGAAAAAAACCATTCAATAAATCTACCTTGGTGATCAGGATATACTTGAATAGAAAGAAATCATTGTTACTTGGTAACACAGAAAAGGAACTTTGCCTCCGTGTCTACTTCTTAAGGGAACATGAGACTGGAACAACATCCCATTGGTTTGACACAAATGTGGATGTGACGTGGAGAACGTGACAATGTTCTCTCGAATCGAACCTCTCTAGAATATCTTTCACGACTACCTCTCGAACAAAACTTATTTCTTTGAAAATTTAATGAGGTGTTAAGTTAAATTTTTGTTTCCTCTCCTTCATTCCAAAATTGAAGTTGACGTATATAAACTTTAAACTTTATCGTTGATATAATTGTGATTTTATAACATACATTAAGAGGAAATTTAATCAGTTTACTCGTATAGAAAAGAAATGGTATTGTGTAATTACAGAAGATTTGAATTTTGAATAATTACAGAACCAAAATTATGATTTGATTGTGACGACGGTACATATCTTCACTTTGTCTGAAGAATGAAATAGTTAAAGGACAAGGAAAAAATACAATGCCAAAAGATAAGTATAGAAAGTGAGTAGATATAGGATTCTACCTTGCCCTTTTTCTTGCGTTTCGAATCAAATGGAGACTCTTCGCCTTCCTCTTGATCTCGTTGCAACCACATGTTTAGATCTTCCGCATCAGACGTATGCATCATGCTGCAAAGAATTTTTTATGTGGTTAACTCCATTGTCCATGTAATGTAAAATCAAATTTCAAAATGAGAACTTTGCGTGAAATGCAATGCATTTTTATTTTCGTGCGTACTACGTATTACAACACTGCAGAAAAAAAACGGTAATTTTTTGACAGTCTCGTATTGTGGAAACATAATACCGAGGTGGATAAATCTTGTTCTCCTATGTAGTAAATTATTTCCCCTAACACATTGTGTACTCAGAATCCACTTTTTGTAGATCCTTGATATCGAAAAATTGGCTTACGGCAAAACGTCCGTCCATCTGTTCGTGTGCAACTCTAGAGTCTCGATTGTTCTGACAATTTTATCGAAAATGAATAATCCCCATGATAACTTGAAACTAATATTTTGATTTTTGAGGGCCAGGTCTCTGTACCTCTGTACAGGAAAACATTTAAAAGAGGCGCAGGTTGCATTTTCGTTGAGCTCTACATTTTTGAAATAAAAAAAGGCGTTTTCTTACAAATATATAGACGTTTTTTCTTAATGGAATCTGTTCTTTAAAGACAGCTCTTTAAATAATGTACTGTACAATTTTTTTGAAAATATGAGTATTTTTGCGTAATTTTGCTTGAAATATGGGCTATTAAAAACATTCTTCTGGATCTCAGTTTTTTCTTTATCTTTTGCTCGAACAAATCAAAGCACGTGTACAAAAATGGTTCAGGTTCCATTTTTGTAAATTGCAAAACATTGACTTTCCAAAGTGCCATATTGAAAGTAGAGATTTGAACCTTTATAAACTGTGATCTAAAAAATTTGATCTTTAATCAAGTTCATGCACATTTCTTTTAAAAAATGATCGTTTTTGCGTAATGTTTGGTTGAAGTGAGATGAAGGCAATGAACAATTCTCAAAGGGTTCAAACTTTGTCTTGAATTTTTTTGTCGAGTGGAGTAAAATAGGCTAATAAAAATGACGCAATGCCCCTTTTCTATAAAATAACGGTATTTACGAAAATTTCAAAAAAGTAGATTTACGAAATATGCCAAAATATTGAAACGAAAATTGCCGAAATTCAATACAGATGATAGAGGTTTTTGATATCTTTTGATTAATTACTTAATGATATCTTTTCTTCAAAATTAGATCTTTAACCCTTCATGAAGCGCCGGGTAAATTATTTCCTCATACTCATTACTTGGCTAGTATGTAATTTTGGAAAATGATGATTCCTTTATTTTCAATTAAGTTATTCTGATCATGATTTCAGTAAACAGTTAATAAAAGATTCGAAAAGATGTGTAACATTGCCGCTATCGCGATTGTATTTTTTGTTGCGCAGAAGTAAAATTTTGTATTCCGCACGCGAGTAGCGGCACCTAACAGGGAGTCTAATTTTTGTTTATTAGTGACCAGTGCAGTACGGAATAGTCGTGTTATCATAAATATGGACAGAAAAAAATAACGAAACGTGAATTAGTGGAGATTTTTCAAGACGATGAAACCGTCGGTGGAAATAGTTGGTCAGAGGACGATTACACAGAAGTAACTGAATGTGAGTCCAATTTGAAACAGTGCGTGGACAATATAAGTGGACTAGTAAGTGAAGGTAATATTTTAAATTTCTTTAAAGATGAAACATATTTGGCGATATGAATTGAACCTTACAAAGGTAAGAAAGGCGCTGTTTGGTACAAAGAACCAGGAACTGCAAAATGAACCACCGCTAGATGCCAGAGATCAGATGTGAAACAATGTGAAAAACATGCTAAAACTGCTATTGTATTGCAGATTATTATCTCCAAACAAAATGAGAGATCAAATTGTTAATTACAGGAGCATCCAGATAGATTCGTCGCGAGCATCTACGATAGATCGATTGATTATGTTACACAGGGAACGTGAGACTTCAGAGACAAATGCAGAAATAAAGCTACAGGAATACAACATATTTGTGGTGTTACGAAAACAACGGCATTTAACACTACAGCTTTTTGAGCTACAGACTGGTGTGGACATTATATTGTAACGTATGTCCCGAAATCGCTTCCATTTTTTTATTAATTCCCTAAGATTCGATGATAAAGATATACGAAAAGACAGGGAAAATGTAGACAAGCGCAGCAATTGGTGTAAGTTGAGTGGCGTTTTACGGCCGTTGTGAATACAAAATATTTATAAAGTCCAAGTCATCAAAATGCGACCTAAAATGTTTCGTGCTTAGCGATTCTGAAACATATTTTGCGAGAATGTAATCTATGACTACTGTGTCGCATTCAAAACAATTGTCGGTTCAGCGGATTTCAAGATAACTAAGGACAAAGATTTTCTCGTCCAATCCAAACCAACATTTTTCAAGCTGAATTCCCTTGAACGGAAGGAAATGGCTCGATTGCACCAGTAACATATCCAACAGTTTGAGTTGTCATCTGAAGTAGCTTCGATAAAAAAAAATTACGTCATTTTCCTTTGCTTTTAAGGCACTTTTAAAACATTTTAAGAGCATTTTGTTGCTCATTTTTGATGATTTTTTAGGTAATCAAAACCCCCTAATAATTACAATACGAACAGTCGGCAAGGCTGCACCGCCCGCAGACCTTCAAAATCGCCGACCGATGTAAACAAATATTGAAAATTATTAAAATAATGCTACTAAAATAATGTTAATTCCTGATAGGATATCTTATTCATTACGTCATTTCATCAGTACCTTCACGTAGCTCTACTACTAATTAAAAGTTGCGTTGCGGTAAATTTATAGTTTTATTATAATGGTTTATATAGGCCTGGGAAGCTGTTCAAGTAATTATGTACGTTTCTGTCGAAAAGTAACGTTTCTTGCGCTCTTCTGATTCTTTATGATATGTGTTTTTGGTCATAGAGTGTTTGTGTTACGATGCTGAGAGTAAGTGTGTTTCATTACTAGTACTGCCGAAAGGGGTGTTTGGTTGCGGCTTGATTAAGTGAATTCAAATGCACGGTTTGATTGCGTCAGGCTTTACGTGTAATAGCATAGTCCCAGCGAAAGGAGTTGTATGATAGATTCGAGTGGAAGCTAATTGGCCATTCACACGCATAAACGTTCTGTGGGAAAGAGGACATGGCTGGCGAGAAGAAAAATAAATATGAATGATTCTTGAGCTAGAGGCAGAGAGACCGTCAGACAGACGTTTTGCCCTAAACTAATTTTTAGGAATTAAGGACAAAATGTGGATGTAAACAACTCAATGTATTATAGCAGAGCTGTCCAACAGGTGGCGCGCGGTGCAATTTATTATACGTTATTAGACAAACAAAAAGTCCTTGGCATCGATGTGGGGCGAGAACATCGCGTCTAGAGCACCCGCCCGGTCGGGGCAACAGTCCTTTAATGTACAAACACGTTACGTTTTGATTTAAGGATTTTTTTCAAGTAAATTCAGAAATTCAAACTCATCCATTTCGGATTCACTTCCTTATGCATGGTTCCATCACCCCCGTTCCAGAACAGCCGGACAAACTGCCGAGATCAACAATACGAGGTCGCGTGAGTAACACCTCAGTAATGAAAAAATGCAACCGTGTGGTACCAGTAGTGATCCTTGAGGCTATGCAATTTGGACACCCCTGTATTGGAGGAAGTAATTTATTACAAAATGAAACAATTAGATTTTTCGATATCCGAGATCCACAATACGTATTTTTCTGTTGATAAACGTCATATTTCGCAGCATAATAACAATACTTTATCTTTACTACGTCAGTGCATAGTATGCGAGAAAGTAAAAAGTTTAAATAATTAATTAACATTAGTTAATCAATCACTTACATCTTACTTATACTTACATAACTTACGTTTAAAGATAATTTATTCCAAAATTTTCAAATTTAGGAGAATGTATTTAGAAAAATTATGATTAAGAATGTAGAATGCATGCCTTTATGGTCATGAAATTTGAAATGTAAGTGTTGTCGTTTATTAGTTCCAAAATCAAATTTTTCGACACTTAATGGATTTTGTCAATGTTGTCCAATCGCATATATTTTTATCGAATTCTCAATACATAAATTGAAATTTGAGGTTTTTTTCTACACATTATAAGCATTAAAAGTAGACGTTTCCTTATTCAACAAACAGTATGCTCCGTATAGAAATTAATCATAAAACAGTTTTGCAAAATTATTTTTCATATTCATTTTATTCTTTTGAGAAATATTCTAGGGAAAGTTACATGGCTAGTGCTGGAGCTGTATTGACAGAGGAAGAGGATAGAGTGAGAGAGGAGAGAGGGAGAGGAGAGGAGAGAGGGAGAGGAGAGAGGGAGAGGAGAGAGGGAGAGGAGAGAGGGAGAGAAGAGAGGGAGAGAAGAGAGGGAGAGAAGAGGGAGAGGAGAAGGAGAGGAGAAGGAGAGGAGAAGGAGAGGAGAAGGAGAGGGGAAGGAGAGGAGAAGGAGAGGAGAAGTAGAGGAGAAGGAGAGGAGAAGGAGAGGAGGAGAGGAGAGGAGTAGGACTTATTCACCAGGAACGAGATGTTATACAAATAGTTTATGTACGCAGAGTGGAAAATCACCACGCCACAAGCCACAGATCAACAATCATATGTATATCCATCAGTTATGGTTACGGTCTCAGTTTCGGATACGATATCAGTTACGTTTACTGTTTCGGTTACGGTTTCATTTCCAGTTTCGGTTTAATTTAGAGATACGGTGTCATTTGTTCTCCTTAACTTACGGTTTGACGCTAATAGTTGAATGATGTTTGTGTACTGAGTGGCACGGCACCTGGGGATGTTGCTGACGGTTGGGTAGAGCGACTTGAAGGCGCCCTTCTTGTAGCTAGGGGGCAGCGGCGGGCGCGGCGCCTGAGCGGCCGCGTCCAGTATCCAGGACAGCGGCGGCGTGCGCTTGCAGCGGTTGCACAGCAGCCGCGGGCGCTTGGGCGGCTGGGGCCCGCGGGCCAGCGCGCCGACAGCGGGCATCGACGACCCGCCAACCCGTCTCCCGTGGCCCGCCCCCGCCCCCGCCCCTGCACCC